GTTTTCACCTGTTTTCAACATCTGTTTTCTCAAAAACAGGAAACAGAAATGAAAGTAAACAGGCCCATAATGTCCCACCATTGCAAGGAACAAAGAACAAGGAGGCATGGACAATTGATGCAATCGTGGAATGTTTTATCTTTTATGGATTTTGACGGTTAGTTATTATCGATTTATAAGCGATTTACCAATAGGATTATGATGATAAATCATTGCATTGAGCAACATAAATTTTGTAGAATTGTAAAATCGTACAGGAAGTACTATAGAATAAGTCTATGATAAGTTTAATTTTTATACTTAAACTGTGGTTTAATCATGACGGAACCGTTTCATATAGGTGAATGTAAAAAAAATGTTATGGTTGAACGTCCACAGTTTTGTTCTTTCATCTCTCTCTCCAGCTTTGTATCTCACAACTCTCCCCCTTTTCCCTTTATAGTACAATTTCATAATATAAAACACATTCGAACCAAATAACTTTGCAATTAATTCAACCGCTGAATCCGCAACTGAGCGCGGACTAAGTTGCTAGTATGTATATAATTATATATCTAGGAAAGAACTAGGCTTTATTGTGGAATTGATTTCCTTCCTCGTGGCTGGATGCTTGAATTTGATGGTGAAGTGTCTTTTGGACAATGAAATAGAAGCTGGGAGTACTTTGTTTGACAACCTGGGGCTGGGAGTATATGATGGAAAGACTGTCCAAGTTGCCATTGTTTCTCGTGGTGTAATCTGACACATTACACATATACTTGCTTAGTTTAATTGTTCGTTCTTTCCTTCTTTGTGTTAGGGATTGGAAAGTATATTAAGAAGTTCTGATCGGACACAAACTAAACAGGGAAGTAGTCGGACTCGTACTATGAATCCCTTAAGCCAAATTTTCAGCTCAACTACTTTTCCTTCACAATAAAGTAGTCAATCTCAGAAAAAAATCCCATAATACACTAGTTATTAAAAAAAATTTCCCAAAATACAATACTTATGAAAATATTTCCCAAAATACAGCAGTTTGAGCATCACCGCTGTAGACCAAGACAGTGAACATCATCACCGCTACAAACAAAAACGGTGAACCTTCACCGTTGTCGTCCAAAACGGGGAAGTGGCGCGGATCGCTGATGTGGAGACACGCGTGCACTTCACCGTTAATCACAAAAACGGTGATAGCCCGCGCTGTCCACGTCATCGATCATTGTCGTCCGCGCGCTTCACCGTCAACGTCAGATGCGGTGAGGCGCGGATTCTGTTTTTTCTCCTAGATCCGACGCCTCAAACCAAGCCACGTCAGCGATCCGCGCACTTCACCGCCTTCAAGAATTGCGGGTTTGTTTCACCGTCGTGGACCAGAACGGGGAATGCTCTGTGGTCCTCCCTATAAATACCACTCCATCTCCCCTCATTCCAACCCACACCACCACTTTTATACTTCTTTCTCCCTCCATTACTTCTCTCTAGTCTCGTTCTAAGTATGCTCTGTGGTTGCGGCTAAGTCCGAACTTCCACATCAAAAAATGGGCGAAGAGGCTCTGAGAGTACGAAGAAAAAAAATTCACCTTTGTTGATATTTTTTAAAATGGGTTTGAAATATTCTAATTTCATTTCATATTTGTTTATAGATGGGTGTTGAGATATGCGACCCTCGTTTGTGTATCGATCCTGGCCCAAGGGATCGCAAATATTTAAACGAGCAAGTACAACATCGCTCCCGTGCAATTTGGGACAGTAATCCGGCAGACACTCTGTCTGTACCGTATAAAATTTTAAATTATTTCAATACGTTAAAAGTTTTTGTTTTGTTTTTTTTTCTAGCAACATTGTATTTTTTGTTTTGTAGGAATCACTTAATCCCATCAGTCATCGAGGGACATGTCGATTGCCTAATTGGCATCCTCATCTCGAGCCCTATCTAGAGAGGACGGGATTGTACATGCAGAGGCATTTCATGCGGCTTGATATCGACAACGATATGCTTACGGCAATGTCAGAGCGATGGCGCTCCGAAGTGCATACGTTCCACTTTCCCGAGGGGGAAATGACGATCACCCTCAGTGATGTTGCCCTCTTCACCGGGTTGCCGGTCACTGGAGAGGCTATCATCGGCAACTCAAGTAAACCCGAAGGTGGTTGGGGGCCGTTGATTCTCGAGCGTTTGGGGTTCAACATGTCGATCACAATGCCCGTTCAAGGGGTTGGGAATCCACCATTCAATGCGGGGCAAGTTTCAATCCCGTGGCTTGTTGAACACATCCAACAGGAAGTTAATTTAGGGCCAGACACCCCTGAAGATCAGGTGGAGCGATATGCACGCGTCTACCTCATTGGATTGGTTTGTGGATTTCTGTTCCCCGACAAGGCAAACCGGTGGATTCAAGGCATGTAGTTGTCGTTGCTCGTCGGTGATTGGGACGAGATCAGGGGAAAGAGTTGGGGGTCAGCCGTATTGGCTGGGATCTACCGAGAGTTGTGCACTTGCTCGAGGTTGCGAGCAAAACAATCTGGAGGTGCGATGTTCATACTCCAACTCTGGGCATGGGAGCATCCTCCAATGTTCGCTCCTCGAGACCCGCAGGAAATTGGGGGTCCAGATGAGGAGCTACGCTTTCTAGCAAATCCCCCCTATGGTGTCAAGTAAGATTAACTTACAAGCTAATTTTATTCCAAGTATGCAATTTTAGTATTTTAGTGAATTTAGTGTCTCTTGCTTTTGATGGCCCGAATCCTAACATTGCATCCCTCGTTATGATTACGGCATCTGACTATGAGCCTTTTCATGTTGGAATGAGTTGTGTGTCATTCAAAATGTTGAGTTATTGCTTCAGTATCAATGGCGTGCCGCACCTCCTTCTTCGAGCCAAATTGTTGGCCCTTCATAAACCAGTGAGTGGACCCCATATTGGAACCTCCGGCGGTTCCATGTCGCTATCGACCATCCAATTGCCATATGGAATGTGAATGTAGTAGGGGACTGGTACACGGTCATGAGCCACCTCATCCTCATTATCTGAGTCCGACTCTGGTCTTGAATCATCAACACCTTCAAGAGGGTCGGAGCTGTCTGCACTGACGTTGTTCTCTCCTTCTTCATCAGAGGGGTCACTAACTGGTGCTGGCAGGGCATCTTCCATCTGATCCAGCTCATGAAAGGCATCTTCATCAGCTCCATAATGGTAGTTGTGAAAACTACCACTCCCTGATTGGAAGTTGTACTGGGGTTGGTTGGCATGGTCCGGTTGAACTTCTTCTTCATATGATGGGTAAGATTGATGATGACCTTCACCTTGCTCTTGGTACTGAAAACAGGAATGAGGATCATGGTAACTTTGGTAGGGATGATCTCCATATAATTCACCTCCACCATGGATACTAGATGTTTGATTGTCTCCAGAATGACCTCCAACGCCTACTACCGGCTCGGTGTAAACGAACATCTCGGCTCTGGAAAGATTGTTGGACCTCAAGAATTCAAGCATGGAATCTACCTCATCCTGAGTGGTTATGAGATAATCCTCGTGCCACAACGACCCGCCTTCTCTGTTTGGATATCGGTACACCATACGATCAACTCTTCTCGTGCTATCCATGCAAGTAATGTTAGTACACATTTGATAGAGGTCTTCAAGCATCGGTCTGGTAGCGACCTTTATTTTCTGAAAATTGCCACCGACGTAGGTGACCCCCTTTCCGCTATCTTCCCTATAACCATTCCACCGTAACCCAAACTTGAACTTTTGGAATGCCATCTGCAAAAAAAAAAAAAAAAAAAAAGTAGTTCAACTAATATCATAAAAATCACAATTCACAATTCACAATAAAAAGTAATACAAAATAAACTTACGAGTTAACGTTAACCGCTAAAACACTAGAGAAATAGAGAGCTACAATAGAAAATTGAAAAGGGAAAAGGAGAGGTGCGAAGAGAAGAAGATTTCCAGGGATGGCTTTTATAGGCAAAATCATCAATGAAAACCGCACCTTAGAGGTGCGGTTTTCATCTGCCATGCAGCCCCCACGTCTATGAATCTGCATGGCTGCTGTCATGTGTCGGAAAATAATTGACACACAAACCGCATTGGGGGGGTGCTGTTTGTGTTGCCAAAACCGCACTTTGAGGGTGCGGTTTGTTTTGGAGAAGCATAACCGCATCCCCAAAGTGTGGTTTTGCTAGGTCAAGCCTAGACCGCATCTGGGCCATGCGGTTTGGTTAGGTCAGCCTGCAAACCGCATGGCCAAGATGCTGTTTTGGCCCAGTAAAGTAAAACGCACCCCCAAGGTGCGGTTTAATGACAAAACACACCATGGGGGTGCGGTATACATGCAAAACGCACCAGGGGGTGTGGTTTTTAAAAAAAGGTGTTATTTTTGTAAGTTTACGGAATGGGTGCTATTTTTGTATTAAAAAAAATTAAGGTGCTATTTCTGGAAAAATCCCATTTTGACTGTGAATTACATTCCATTCCTTGCTCCTTCAGTTTGCTTACTAAAGAGGTTGAGTAAAAACAGCTTTATAGGATAAATATGGGAAGTTTTTTCTTTTTTCTTCATTTTCTGTTCTTTGTTTCCCCATATCTGGCGCTTTCCTGAAATTGGATGCTCTCTAATGTGGTTACGTTTATTTTGTTTAGGCTATTAGTGATGAAATTGACAAAATATTTTGTTTCCAAATGGCCGGAAAATATAATAAAAATGAAACTAAGAGTAATTTTTTGAGAAGAATATAATAGTATCTACTAGCTGACGTGGACTGGTGACATGACGGGTAAAATTATCTTTAGATACCTGTCGTTAGTATTATTGACGAAAATGGTGACGTTGCAACTATTATTCGATTTAAATAGTTTAGATGCAAAAAATCGTACTTAGATGATCACCGTGCAACAAATGGTAAACTTAAATGGCAACCGGTGCAATTAACCCACATATAAACGAACCGAAACCTAATGCTAAGGAGGAAACCGCAAAGCAAAACCCAGCCGCTACGTACTCTCCGTAGCATGGACCCATCCATGGCCTCTGCAACATCTGTGAGAATAGCAGCCAGCCATCGTGCAATCCAGTTCATCGCCCATGCCGCTACGTACGACTCAGCCCTCCTTCTCGTGTACAATTTTTTCCCGGCGAGATTTGTTCTCGATGATGGTGAGAGGGGGAGCAAGCATGGAGACAGAGGAGAGGCTTACCACGGAGATGTCACTGGACCGAAAGGCTAGATGGCCTTGACATGACAGCTTTGGTTGATCAGTGTCGGGCGAGGCGAGAGTCGAACGTAAATGGCATCGGTCCACGACGGAATATCAATATAATTGAGGTACCGCCGCTTGCTCCTGTGCTCTTAGCTTGTCGATCGTTTCTTGTGTGGATCGATAGGTTATTGAGGTAATGATTATGCTTTCATCGAGTGCGATAATGACATGGATTTAGTAAAAGCCTGTTCCTGTATGATAAGAGAAAAGCATAGAAATTTTGTGTGGAAATAGAATTGAAATTGGTAATTGTTGATGGGTTGGGATTAAAGTAGTTTCATCCGCCTGGCCTTGGACTTTAGAGTGACTTAGGTGATGATGGAAAGGGCAATATGGGATAGTAGTTAATTATATAGCTATACAGGATAGAAATGGGAGCTAGCATGGGTTAGTAATCCTAACTAAAGAAATCAGTGGGAACTAGATGAGATCAATTGGGTGATTATCATGTTCGCTGACTATCAACGTATTTTGGACCACATTTTATGAGGGAGCAATGATTGGTCAAAGCATGTGAATTTGTGGCATCCACACCAAGGATAGCCTCATCCAGTGATCGACTCATTCATCTCAGGAGATGGGTGATCAATGTAAGGTGGGTACTACGACTATAAGGTATGTAGTTAAAGGGGGTTAGAGTAGTTTTTGTTATCATGCATTTAAGTTTATGTATGCATTTCAGTTCTTACTTTATGTTTAGTTATTCGTTATAGCTTCTTTGTTAAGTTAAGCTCTTTATGTTAAACATTTACTTTAAGTATGCATAGCATCATGAAACATAAGTAAACTACGTTATGAGTCAAGCAAATACAAGTTCAATTCTAAACTAATCAAGTACAAGTTAATAAGTCTAGGTCTTCCCATTGTGTGGGAGATCACCTTAAGTAAGCTCAAACTTCTCAAGTTAAGTACGCAAGTATAAGCTTAATTAACTACGTCTCTCCATCATGTGAGAGATTTATTCAAGCAAGTACGTTTAAGGTATCACATTGATAAGTCAGGAAAAGATAAAACCTCACGTACTAGCTACCGGCACGTCCAACTCACTTTCCATAGTGAAGAACTCCATGTATGCTACCCACTCTTTCAGATAAGGAGTCCATGTTCAAGTTCATGTATTAGGTACCAGACGGTCACCTAGCTAGTGCGCGGTTACCTCACCTCCCATAGTGATGAAGATCCATGCTTATCACATTATCCACCTCCCAGAGTGATGGAGGTCCATGTTTATCACGTTTAGGTGGTCAGACGGTTGCGCTAGTTAAGTTGAGCTTGGGGGCCCATTGTAAGACAGAATATGCAAGATTCTTAGGAAGTAAACAAGAATAAAAAGTTCAAGTACGCCTCATAATGTAGCTAAAGCATTGCATGTGCATGGTTTTCTATTCGTGTATGCATGGAATTAGCATTAGGACTGACCTCATCGCTCGCATTCAGGAATTCTAGAACCTTCAGAGTATGCTTAGTAGTTCTGCAGCTCGTGACAAGGAACAATGGCTCTTAAGGACTCCAATGTGAAGATTTCAATCTCGTGTATTTAGTCGGACTTGAGACTTGATGCGAGTTTTGTTTAAGAATATTTTAGATTCCCGCTTATGGAAGTTTCAGACGTTATTCGAATTTTGTATTATTTATAAGCATATATATGAAAAGTTTTCCCAGTCTTTTCATTCTTATTATGGTTGATGGTTTAACAAGGATATTTTGGTAAAAGTATTGTTCGATCAGACTAGGATATTACATTAACCAAACAAAACGTGAACAACCTACCAAAAAAAGGATTTGGAAAAAGCAATGTAGTTTACTATGGTTATCAGTGCAATTCAACACATCTCGTGGAGCAGGAAGGGACGAGTCATATAGAAAATAATAAGAAAACCTAGCAAGACAACTTTGTGAACAAGTACTCAAGTAGCATGTGGAGAAAATGTTAGGCAATCAAACTCTAGGCCGTGAGTACTCAACTATATTAATTGGGTATGGGGTGGGTGGTTTTAGCTTCTTTCGCTTATATCTATATTCGCCCATCAAGAGCATTCTTTCACCTATAAAAAATAATGCATTAATCAATTTACAACATGTCAATCATAGTGAGGGTAACTTAAGAAACAAATAGTAGAAATGCAATTGAGTGGCCACTCAAATAAAAATATAATTTCTTTCCCTCAAATCTCAAGTCTCCTTTACCTCCTTCATTTTACCCTGGTTAAGTAGGGGTGGGCACGTGGGTGGTTAATCCGCGGATTGATATCGATCCACCCGCAAATAACCCGACCCGCAAGCAGTGGGTGGTTGATGTGGGTGGATTGCGGATTGATAAATCTTCCACCCGCACTTATGTGGGTGGGTTGAGGGTGGATTGCGGGTCACCCGAATGACTCCATCCTATTGTCACATGACAAAAATGTTGTTTTGACTACGGGACGGGTTAGCATGCTAACCCCTTAAGGGGTTGGTTTTTTGACACCCCCCTTTTAATTGGTCAATTTTTCATTAATTATTGACAAGTATTAATGAAAGTAAACATAATAAATGTTTTGTTATTAAATACAAAGTAAGCATTAAATACACCACATTAATTACTTGTTTTTAAAAAATCTAAACATATACAAAATACAATTCTCTCTCTCATCTTTGATCTTTCTCACTCCTTTCCGAGCATCCTCCGACCACCAAGTTTCCTCCCACCACCACACTTCGCCGGTAAAATCCGCCGACAAACTCTCTCCGGTCACATGCAAAAGTATACCACTGCACTGATATGTTGTACCACTTTACTGGTATTTGTACCACTGCATTGATACTCAGATATGACATTTGTACCAGTGCACTGATATCGCTACCAGTGCAGTGGTATATCTACCAGTACAGTGGTACAACGCATCAGTGCAGTGGTATATTTTTTGGAGGTGGTCGGAGGGAGTCTGCCGATGGGATTTTCACCGGAGAAGTGTGGCGGTCGGAGGAAGTCTGGTGGTCGGAGACTGTTGAAAAAGGAAAAATTAAATATAGTGAGAGAAAATGTATTTAGTGTAGGTTTTAATTTGAAAAAAAAAACAAATAATTAATATGGTGCATTTAATTCCTAAAGTGTATTTAATGTGTGTATTAAATTCTATAGTTGTATTTAATATACTAGAGGGGTGTCATTTTTCCAACTCCTAAGGGGGGTTAGCATGCTAACCGACCCCTTTTGACTACTATTATTGGTTATTGTGTTGTGTCATATCCATTATATATTGGATATTGGAATGTAAATTATTGTTAATTTCCATTAATTATTGGGATGAAAATTTTAAATTATTAATTTTATCAAAATCGCAAAATGTGTAAGTTTTCTCTACACAATTGGTTGATATAGTAGTAAATTTTTTTATGCAAATACTAAATGGGTTCACTTGAGAAAGTGAGAAGTGTTTAAATTGATACCGTCTTACTAATTTACTATGAACTTATTATAAATGCTAGCCAACTTTCTTAATGACTAGTTGAAGAATTGCTTTTGCGGGTTAACCCACGACCCAACCACATTCATCCGTCACCCACCCAACCTGACCCGCAGAAGAATGTGGGTGGATTGCGAGTCCCAATTTTTCCAACTCGCTAGTAAGAGGGTGGGTCAATTTGAAACGAAAATCTCACCCAACCGGCCCATTGTCCACCCCTATTGTTAAGAAGATGATATTAGTTATTTATTACTTAGTAGAAGCATTAGAGTTATAGAATAATGATTTTAAAAATATTATGCTCTATCTTATGGATTAATATATGTTTAGCATCATATGCTTTGAATCGTATTAAGAATGATTATATATTCAGTGGCAGATTCACTACAAAAAAACCTTATTTTAGAGACAATTAATTACAGTCGATTATTATATCGATCTCTATACCTATTCTATGGCCGCAAATATAATAATTGTTTCTCTATATCATATTATTTGTTTCTAATTCACAATTTTATTTTAAAATGAATTTAAGATGAATTAAAAAATAGCTTTTGACGCAGTTATAGTATTTGCTACTATATAATATATTATCATTATGCATAACTACAAAGTGCATACAGAGACAAATATAATTGAATGTAAATATTTTGGCAAAATACAGTTCCATAGCCAAAACTTTCACGTTTGTGCCAATAATAGCCACATTTGGCGAAATACCACTTATAGCCACCTCCGTCCAATTCTTTAACGCTGTTAACGTTAAGTGTGACTGGGCAAGCGGAGCAGCTTACGTGGACCGCCAGTGATTTCCACGTGGACAATAATTAAAAAAAAAACAAAAAACAAAACACGAAATAGCCTACCCACCGACCATTTGGTCGACTTTTCCATCTTACCTTATCTTCTTTCTCTGAAATATCACCCACCCATCTTCCTTCGAAAGGCGACGAGCACGAAGCCGAAGCCGACCACGAAGACCATCTTCCTCCGACGCCCCCCCTCCGACGCCCCCCCTCCGACGAACCCTTTATTCCTTCCGCCACCATCAATATAGACCCTTCTCATCTCCATTCTCGATTTTCCTCGATAATCCGAAATTGAACCTACCGCCTCCTTCCTCGAGAAACATAACAGAGAATGGGTTGACTAATCGACGCCGAGCTTTGGCCGAGTCTTTCCAAGCTTCTTCTCTTCTGCATGCTTTGGAGGAAAGTGGGAATCGACCGATTGTACTCTGAAACCCTAATCTTCCCTCGAAGCCGATTTGTCCTCTCCCTCGTCAGTCGCGACTGGTAAGGAAACTTTCTTGGTTCTTTATTGTGGGTTTGATAGCTGCAATTGAATTCTGAAAGCTTGTCGAAAGGTTCTTATAGTTTCATCTTTTTTGGTTGTTAGCGAGCTGTAAAGGCGAGAGAGCTACATGACAGAGACATCTAGGGACCACTGGATTCATTTTTTTGGCGAGTTTGCCCCCATAACTGAAGGTGAGTGGGTCGATTCTACTAGGTTAGATTTGTC